TCAACAGGGCAGCTGCTTTTAACAGTCTATGGGTGAACAATAACAACCACTGCAGCCTTCATGAGAATTTGCAGTTTACTCAACTGGAATCATCAGGTCAGTATTGCAGGGGTCTGTGCAGCACTCCAAGCAACTAAGCTACTGTACTTTGGGAACGTTTACAAATGGTTCTATTGAAAATCTGGTGAAACTGTCTTAATAGAGATTCTGACCGGGTTAAGGGAGCACCTTGATTGGCTGGAGCCTCTTGGAGAAGGCAGTATAAGAAAATGTCTAAATGTGTACTTGTGTACTTCTTTATCAACATTTGAAGATCAAACATGTTGCTATGGTTGCCATTTCCTGCTCTCAAATCCTTGAACAAACCCTACTTAGCTGGAATTCTGGCACTTTACGCTTTAGAGGAATGAAATGTAAAACTGCAGTGGACGTGAATGGACTATAACCATCATAGTATTATAAAGTACACCACTGCCCACAGACTTGAACTAGACTGTTGAGCTTCAAAGATGCATCCAGAATATATGAACTGCACAATCTTCACACACACATTTCACAGGCAAACAGCGTCCTGTCACAGCCCAGATTTCCAGCCACAAGCCGCTGTGTATTCGACAGCAGCAGTTCCTGCTTGGAGAGCACCATTCCCACTGTATCATTAGCCAAACACTGGTTAGGGATGACACTTCACAGCAGAGAGCCTGTAGCAACCAGCAATCAACAACAACAGAGAGCAAAGGAACGCCGGAGCTCTTACATGGATCCCCACAGTTAGGAATGCAACAGTTTAGCTAGATGAGGTTCAACATTCATTTAATTGATTTTTTTTCTCATTTGAACAGCAGATGTTATAAAATGGTGTAGTCGCTGTTACAAAATGATGTTAAAGCTCAAAGATGAAATTAGTTTAATGATATGATCACTTCTGATTTTTTCTTCAGCTAATTTTCCCTTGAAAAACATGACATGCTGCATCCCCTTTCCACAACTGCAGAGAAAACTAACAAGGTAAATGGTGAGACTCCAAGAAAAAGAGATGAGACAATGGGGCAGTGTAATGGGAAGGGGCAGACAGGGGAGTAAACCAGGAGACAGATGAGTCTCGTACAAATCAATCTTTTTGGTAAATGATGACAGAAAGACGACCATTAGACAGTTTTATGGTTTGCGCTACTCGTCATGTGTCCTGTGCTCCCAGCACTCATTCACTGAAAGCCTCTTGAATGACACTCTTCAGTTTATTTCTCTAAAATGTTAGTTACTTCTTATTGACTCAAAGGCTTAAAATTAATGCCAGAAACTGTAATATCAAGTATAGTGGTCATCAGTGTCATTGAACATCTTTTAACTTCTACCCTCATATAATTACTATTATAAATGCAGTAATCCCTGTGCCTGACCTACTCTTCCTGACTGTCATTGATTACAGAAACAGTTTTTGGTGGCAAAGTGAGAAAACTGGCTTTCAAAATCATTATACATCTCTAAATGAAATACAGCTGCAACTAACAATTATTTTGGTAATTGATTAATCTAGACATTTTGATTTGTTGTTTAGAACACGCAAGTCCCCTTAAAGCTGATATGAAGGCGTTTGAGGTAATTTTGGCCTATGGACATGAAAATCACTTCTGGATAGCAGTCGATTCATCTCGATTTCAAAACACTGTCTAGATGACGACCTTTGAAAGCAGACCATTTCATCTAAAGCACGAAATTCTCAAGTCATTTTCATGTAATTACTGCTCTGTACAAGTCATGAAACTCTTCTGTCAGCTCATGGCCTGTTTTCAGTGTGTTTATCCACCAGTTAATAATTACTCATTTAATAAATTATTATCTCAATCACTGATTAGTTGCAATTAATCAATTAACATGTTGAAGCCCTAAAAAATAAACATCAACTCAAGTGAAATGAGCAGATGTCAGATCTATGGATGGATCACACTGACACATTGTAGACTTTTTTTCTCAGTTAGTAATTATTAAAAGTCTGTCATGTTTATATTTAGAGAATAAATGAAAATCAAAATATTGAGCCACTTGTTTTTAATTAGACAAAAAATTGTATAAAATGTGAGGGAAAAATATTTGGCTCATACCTACAGTGGCCAACCTCCTTGTCAAAGCCTGCTCTCGTCAGATCTCAGAGGCTAAACAAGGCTGTGTCTGGTACTTGGATGGGAGACCGCTGGGAATTCCAGGTGCCACAGTGGGGCGCTAGTGGTAAAAACTGAAGTTGTGTCTTTAGGAAAGACTTCCAGCCTCACTTCTGTCAATCTACCCCAGGTAGGCTGTGGCTACAATATTATCAATATACAATACCGTCACTGATCGTAGAGTGAATGATAATGCACAAAATTGTAAAGTGACTTTGAGCATCTGGAAAAGGGCTGTATAAGATGAATGCATCATTACTATTATCAAAGTTTGCACATCTCCACAAGAACTGCGACATTACTGACTTCAACATGCCTCCCACCTCCAGTCAGATCATGTGTGCGCAGTCTGACGTAAAAAGTCTCAGTCATGTGACATTGTTCAGCAGGCTGATTAGCTTTAGCAATAAGTTAAGATAACAGCACAGCTCCTTCAAAGATGGCTTGTAGAAAAACAAAGATAAGCCCACAGTGGATGCATGACACAGAGTTATAGAACATTTGTAGAGAAGAGTAGCTGATGGTTTTGATAATGGATTGATATGATCTCAGAGGGGTGTGTATCATAGAGATCTGTGCCAGCAAACTGTCTCATAAATACAAAGTGCTGGTAATGAGGAGGTGTAACTCAAACATGTTAATATGATTTTACTGTGAGGGGGGTTGCAGGGCTGGGGTCCCACACACACTGAATTGGGGGAGAGGAAGCTTGTGTGTGACCTTCACTTAGACCCTGTCCATGCATTAGGCTGATCACGCCTCTCCCACAACAGGAAACGTCCTTGTCCAAATGCCATTCACAACACCGAGGCTCATAACTCAAGGTGGAAATGAAAGCCCTCATATTGGGCCGAGGGGAGGTGTTTCATATGCCACATTGTTTATGCTCCAAAGCACAGATGAGCAGGAGCAACAAGCCTGCTCCTATCTCTGTAACAATTCTAGTGGCTGTTTCACACGAGTATTTTCTCTCTCACAAAGGATGCATTGACCCCGGGCTTAAGTAAGCTCCGCGTCATTGATTGAAACAAGAGGAACGGGCCGGTGTCTTGACAAGACAGATTTGCTCTTTAAAGCATTATGGATTACCGGCGTTTGGACCCAAAAGGGGATTTCAAAGAGGTCCCGGTCTGGCATTAATTCAGCGGGATGATTTATTCAGTGCGGTCAATCAATTCAATTAGAAGTGTCCAGTTACGACTTTGCGCTGACTACTTTATGATCTACAGCGCAACGACATGCACTAACAGTTTCATCACATTACCGCCCCGCCCAAGTCTCATCTCCTATCAGCATAATCACTCAGATGGACCTGCGGGAGATTTTTACAGTGTGTCTTAATGTCCCCTTTAAGTACCAGTAATTATGAGGCTTTGGAGACAGGGGACGTGCTGGGTGCAGGCCGCTTCAGTGCTGTTTGTATCAGAACACAAAGATTTGTACTTTGAGTTCACTCCAAACACCCTTCAGGTGAATGTTAAAGACAGTCAGAGGTTAAGGTCCTGACATGGCTTGGCCAGGGCTAAACCGGCTGCACCAGCGTTATTTATAGGAAAGTTTGGACATTTTTACTCCTTGGAAAAGGCTCTCTTGGCTGCGATAAACTTCTGTGAAAGCAACTTGTGTAACCTTTTCCATAATTATCATTCCTAATACTAACAAGTCATATTTAACAGAACAATGGCAGGTAACATACAAAAACATTTGGAGGGTATAATGCCCCCTATAGGAGGAAGTGTGAAACCAAGTGGAGCCTGGATCCCTTTCTCTTCCTCATCATCCTGCATGTTAAAGATAACACCATCACTCCATAGTTCAGGGAGGGATGAAGTATTATTGATGGAAGTACAGGACAGTGGTAAATCACAAAGTTTAATCAACAGTACAAAATTTTAATATAGTGAAATAATGTTTGTAGTATGCCATATTTTAGAACTTTGTTTAGTTCCACATTCACACAGCTGTCTTTAATGCATTATTTAACACTCGCTTTCATGAGAATCTCCTGCTTTGTCCATGCTTGCACACAGTATACTGTAAGTGAGGAGCTATTGGTCTGTGGAGACTGCTGGGCTGAATTCCTAGGAAGGCACACATGTAATCAAGTGAGTTCCAGAGAAGGGCTTTGTGAGAGACTGACATCAGACCATCAGTGATAGAGCGCACACATCAGATCTGTGCGCTTACAGCACAGTCAAGTGACCAGCCAGTTTTCAGCACATAAATGCACCAAGCAGCTGCAAGTGTATGGCCAGTCTAAACTAAACTATAGCCTATAGCCTACTTTTATATAATCACACACAGGCACATCTAGAAACCACTGGGTCAACCCCAGTCATGGACTATATGAACCTAAATCTGTGTCTGTTAAACCCATGTCTGTGTCTGAGTATTAAAACACTAATGTGCGTCTAAAATACACCTTAATCCAGACCAAAACAATGGGTTACAAGACATGGACAACAGAATAAACTAAAGCAGGAGTTAAGTGCCATGTACTAGACCTATAGCAGATAATATGCCTGCGTACCTGCAGTAGACCTTACACCACAGTTTGAGAACCGCTGACACAAGTCAACGTTAGACCCTTGTTTGATGTGAGACAATTTTCTCCTTCAACTCTACAGCTTAATGGCTGTTTACACAGGAGTGCAAAAAAGTTTGAGAAGTCAAACAAGACGCAGTTATATAAATGTGTCAACACAAGAGGATCTTTCAATAAATTGTACTGCTGCAGGTGCGATAGACTCAAGGGAGGAAAGCCGTCGGATTTTGGCACATCGTTAAAATGTAGGCTACAAGACCACTTGAAATTAAATAATAAAATAAATGAAGGTTTACCTGATATTTCAGTCTGTGGCACTCCCTCCAACGTGAAGCCTTTCCCGCTGTAAAACTGTCTGATATCCGAACAACTCCGCGCTTTGCTGGTGCCTTTCTCCCCGAGGACCGCTGTTGTAAGAGAGGACAGTGCCAAAAACAATGCCACGATGTAGGAATCCATCACGAGTCTTTTTGTTTTAGCGAGACAAGTGCAAATGCGAAGAGTCCCAGATCAACAGCCGCTTGTCATGGGCACAAGAGCACGAAAACCCTTCCACCTTCTTCCTCTCTTCTTCTTACACCAAGAGTAGAGCCCTGCGCGGAGATTCACAGTCCACAGTTATAAATTCCTCTGTCCGCCTTCACCTACGACAGAAAGGGCAAAGCACACAGCCAAATTACCGCTTTATAACTGCAGCAGCCGTAGAGGCACATGTATCTGCTGCTGGTGTCTACTGTTGTACTGACCGAGCGCGCCTGTACCAACCCGGCTCTTAGTGACGTGCGGACTCACGCTGCTGCCTGCTACTGTGTGTCCCGTTTGGAGCGATGCAATGCCAGAGCTGCCACAGAGCGGACTGACAAGGCGGGCAAGAGAAGGAGGAGGAGGCGGGAGAGAGACAGAGGGAGTGTGTGCGTAAAGCTGCTGGCGTCTTTCTCCCGTCACTGTTATATCTCTTCTCACAAGTTTTTGAAATGATCTACTTTTACAGTCTCTTCGCGAGGGACATGTTTAACTCCCCGGGCCAGGTGTCGCTGATGAACTGTGGGCGTGTCCTGTCGCTTCATGCCCCGCCCCCTCACATCCACAGGTGACCGCAGGTTCGCCCTCTCCAGCACGAGCGTAACCAGCGTCACTCTTCGGGGTGCAATTACGGACGTTCCACAAGCCCGTGCGCGCCTGTTCTTCCGAGTTTACCTGTCAGGTGGTGAATGCCTCTATTATACCTGTGAACACACTGTTTGGCCAAGAACTTAAACTTGGACAGGGCTGCTAAAGAATGGGAGGCCAACAAAAAAAACTGTCAAAGAGTTGATTCAGCTCATTTGTCAAACTCCCTATGGACAAAGAATAGAAGCATAATAGACTGATTATTCACATGACATGCTAAGACATAATAAGACAGTATAAGAGATCTTTATCTGATATTACTATTTATCCTTGAGCCCAAAAAAGTATAAACTGTTATATTTAGTGAAACTGACAATATATGTTGAAGAAGAGACCAAGTCCAGACATGAAATCTTTTGCTCCTGAATTGGCCTGTGATAGTGAAATATTTCTCTCAGTCATTTTGGACCAAAGTAAATGATACAGCGCACTCATATTTATATTTACACCAATGTATGCAGACATTGGGAGAAAAATGGTTTAGGTGTCTTGCCCAAGGACACAACAACAGTATTCATATGTGGCAGCTAGGACTAAACTGCCAATCTGTGGGTCAGTTGTTGACTGCTCTACCAACTATGTTTATATCAAAAGAGGGAAAGGCGATTCTTTGTTATTCCAGTATTTATTTTTTCTGGCTTGGCTGGATGCAGCCTATACCAGAGACTCAAAATGTTCACAAGTACACACCAAAGAAAAGATTTAACAGGACTACTCCAGGTCTAATAGAGCTAAACCAGGTCTAAAAGTGATTACCTAATTTCCACTGTTGTTCTTAACAAGAAATTATCCAAAGAGGAGAGTAAAGTGGAAAAAATTAACTCTAAATAAGACAAACGCACATACTGAAGAGCTGTGCAAGTACCACCTGAAGGAGCTCAGTTTGAGACATACTGGCCTAGAGCACTTTCATCGCCACTTCAATCATCTTGAGTCAAAACAGACCAATAAATAAAATCAGATGTTATTTTTAATTCAAACTGAGCGAGGATAGGACAGAAAAAAGTAAAACATGGAAAAAAAAAACAACCCTATTGAAGGGATCAAAGCTTTGGTATTTCTGGCTGTGAAACTGACCACTATCGTTCTCAAGCCAAACTTATATTTGTTGCAGGATCAGCTCTGTTTTCATAAATCAGCACATAAAACTGCTTAGCACAAAACACATGGATTTTGAACCTGTAGTTCCCTGGTTTAAATCTCTTTGTAAAACATTCCTGAAATGCCTCAGTTTCCTCATTACTTCTAATAGGATCAGTGTTTTCCAGTTCCCAGCATCCGATTCCGACAGTCAAGCTCCTTGTCACGGCCTGTGGCAGCAATATGTCCAGAACTAATGCTGTATGAGAGCAGGGAGGGTCACCCAGTTCAGCTGATTCAAAAACTATATATGTACTATTACTTTGAATGCATGATTTGGAACGAATCTGGATTGCTGCTTAAACGTTCTAGAATAGTTTTATGCTAATGTAACAATACCCTTATGTATATTTTGTTTATACATCAAAAACCAAGAAATCAATCTCAAAAGTCCAATGCCATTTAAAAAAGGGACATTTTGTGTTGCAACACTTTTGATTAGGGCACATAACTATGAGGAAAAGTCTAGCGCACACTGCACTGACACTTGTTGGGAATAAACAAGCTTAAAATAACCCACCACCTTGTAAAACAAACCAACAAAGTAACTCAGACAGGAAAAAAGAGAAAACAACATCCACTGCAGCAGCGCTACTTTTCCGCCTCCCAATTATTCTATGAAGTCAGACATTGTTGTGAATAAACCAGGAAATGCTACTCTTTAATTAGTTTTGTTCCACCTCATGACTGCAGTGCGGCCATGTCCAACTAGGAGGACTACGTCTCACACATCAGCTAGGGACAGAACTGCTTTGACTCCTTTGTTTTGTTAGACATGATCAAGCCTACATTGTCAGTGTTACATTTTGTTCATTTGTTATTGGAGACCTGTTGTATTTGAAGTTTAGTCACTGTTGCGACATTTTAATCCTGTTCACTTTTACCACCACTGTGTGATGATCCTGGTTTAGCAATGTTTTTGTAATAGTCATTTTGCACCACCTCTCATTCGCCAAGAGTACACTGGATATGAAGTTCCTTTGGAAATATTTTGTCACAACATGTGGCTCCTGTTATCTTGAACATTGTCCGTGTGAGTTGTATATATTTTGGCATTTGTAATATTTGGGCAACAGTGGCTCAGGTGGTCATCTTAAAACTACAAAGTTGTCAGTTTCAATCCCTTGTCCAAGTATAAAGTTGGCGTGTGGGTGGTGGTCAGTAAGAGGATAACAGATTGGCAGTGTTTACGTGTAATAGTAGCAGTTATGATGTGTGGAGGAAGATGGCAAAACTCTGCTCTGCTTATGAACTCATCACAGTTAATAATTAGGATGCTATGCGTGAGAAAACTGAGAAATACGTTTTTGACAGCTGCTAATTCTGTTTTTCACATTTGTAAGTGTATAAAACTCTGGTACAACGCATTTAAGGTCAAATGTCTCTTGATTAACATGCACCATTTCATAGACATTATTTTCAGACTGCTCCGAACCAAATTATATCTTGGAATGCCCTCTTCTGACTCCCTCTAAGAGTACTCGTATTTATAGACAGACGTATTTTCCCCCAAACACTCGTAACATCCAATTTTCTGTCGCCATGAGCAAGTGAAAATACCAGCAGAGGTTAATAAGTCCGCTGGCCTCAGATAGTGTTGGTGCATGTTAAAGCGTCTGTCACAGCTATGTTGCGAGCGTGCTTTATGGGAAACGACGTGCGTGCCCCTTTCTCGTGCACGCCCCTGCCTCGTGCACATAGGAGACAGTTCTGGGTATGGGCACGCTTGTTATAAGGCAGGTTTATATGTCTGAGTGTGTCCTGCGCGTAGCCATAGGTCACCGGCCCCTTCTCCATCTGGCTCTCGCCGATGGTGTAATTAACGCCCGCTAAAGCTACAGAACAGCCATGCTTGCTTCAGGTTGGCTCCCATTGATGTTTTATTGGCCCTGACCATGAAAGAGTTTTTCTAATGAGGAGCAGGATGCGGAGGGAAGTGAGGGAGACCAGAGTTGGAGCATGGGAGCAGAGGGTGAGAGACTGTACAAGTCAGCCACTGTCAGAAAACATATGCTCTCATTATGCGGTCGGCGTTTTCAGGGAATGAAGAGGTTTCCAGTTGAAATGTCACTGTAAGAGTTATTTTAAGAACATGGCTTTGAGTTTGTAGATAATGTAAATGTTTAAGCAAAAGTTGTTCAGTCTTAGCCACTTTTCTGATGTGGTTAGATCTCGCTGTACTTCCTTATAGTGTGATTCATCGCTTAAAGGGCCTGTACCAGCTTTTTCCCACCATGTATTTGAGAAAACTTTGTCTTAGCTCAGTACAGATATATCACTGTACTGTCACTGTACTGTATAAGCTCGTATAAGCAGCTCATGAGGTTAGAATAGCACGCTGTCTGCAACTAATTACAAAGCATTTTAATTGTCCAGGAAGTGTGCATTAGTATGCTAGTTGCTGTTAGCTTCATCATCACAGCACACTGAGAGTTGTGAAGGGCACACAGCAAATCAGTGGCGGAGCAGTTTCGGGGCCCTAGGCGAACAAGAGTTTGGGGCCCTCATTATAATATTCTGTTATTTTTTATTGTCTGTTTTCCCCCATTCTTCTTGATACATGCACATTTCTATTTGAATTAGGGTAGATTCGAAACTCGCCTTATTAGTTCGGCAGCCTACTAGATAACCAAGGGGGGAATGCTTTGACCGTTAAAATAAATTTGACAATCAGATACTATTTTGATGGTGTTTTTCTTTTTAAATGTAATCTACTCTCATTTAATGCCCTTTTGAAAGAAAATCAAATTGATCTGAGGTAGAGCCCTGCACTCGATACAAAACAGTGCGGCGTGCAACACAGTTTGAAAGCTCCTTGTGGGCGCGGGCAGGAGCAGGACTGCACAATGCGAGAGCAGGACGGTGGGCTGATAAACTGCTGTCCCGCAAATTAAATATGAGTGTAAAGTAAAATATACAAATGATTAATGTAAGCCTATCATATATAATTTGTGCTGGATATTTTATTTGGCATTAATAAAAACATTTTAAGCAGCCTAAATGTGGTCTAATTTTGCGCAAATTTTAGACAATTCCTTTCCATCTCTCCGTGTTTTATAGAGCTTAAGAAAGCGAATGTTCCCTTCTTTCGGGATTTGAGGGCAGGAGCAGGACAAAATATTGCTTGCAAATGTGAGCAGGAGTGGGAATGAAAATTAGAATTCTTTGCAGGCGCGGGTGGAAGCGGGTGTGCACAGTGCGGGTGTGGGCTGGAGCGGGTCTGAAAATTCTGGGACTGTACAATGTGGGTGTGGGCCATTAGTGGCACTGAGGACAGTTGGTTGGAGGGCCTCTCCAGGTTTTGGGGCCCTAGGTGGTCGCCTACTCTTGCCTAATGGTAGCACTGCCTCTGGATGCTCAGAATTAACAAGTTAAGGTACTGTTTCTAAGACAGTAAAAATCAGGTCGGAGTGAGAGGTTGTTGAGTCTTAGCTACTTTTCTGATGTGGTTAGACCTCCCTGTAGGCCCAATATTGTGATTTATAGCTTAATATTTGGTAGTATACTAAATTTCAGACTAGGTTATTTGCTACAACGTAAACAGATGTGACAGAATGATTTCCCCATCTGAAGTGGTAACAGCAGCCATTGCAGTAATCCCACGAGCACCATCCAAAACTCAATGGCAAGACGACTGAGAAAGCATTGTGCATCCAGATCTGATATGAGTCTCAGGATCACATGAGAACAGTTTCTCCTTACACACTGGAAGATGCAGCGT